GTAAATACCAACTAAGAAAGAAGTATTTTATATTGTTTGTAAGTTTGTGTAAACTTTTGTTTAATAAATCTATTGTTTGTAATAACTGTTATTGTAAATTGTATGGTTGTGTGTATATTAAAACGTATTTGTGTTAAAAAAGAAAACTGTGTGTATCAATCTTGTTGGCAAATATTATAAACTGACTGTATATCGGCTTTTACTTAACTACTAATTCCAAACTACAATTTAACTACTAAATTTAAGTTATCAGTTAACTCGATTTCAGTTCATTTAAAATTCTAACATGTAACAGTGGTAAAATAAGTTTACTGTTAGGGTCATTCATATTTTTAATTAAAGAAACATATAAAACCAGTAATGAGACACAACCTGACCGCGATGCACATATACATGGTTAGTAAGAGTACTAAATATAGGTACACTAACATGTGTACAGCACTGAGTCAACTCAATTACACACACACACCTATCTACGCGTAGTGAAATCCAAGTGTTCGTGTTTTCACGAACATCTGTAGAGCAGAAGTGGCAAAGAACAAGTATGGTGGATCCTTTCAACATATTGAATCTTTTTTTTTTCAGAAAATAACTTTTCTTGTTTTACATTTAATCTTGTGTTATGTATTAAAATTTCGAATAGTCAGAAACCGAGCTAAATGATAATTTAAATTTAGTAATTAAATAAATGCCGATATATCTCCAATTTATGATATTTGCCAACAAGATTGATACACACAGTTTTCTTTTTTAATACAAATATGTTTTAATATACAAACAATAATACAATTTACAATAACATTTATTATAAATAGTTATTACAAACAATAATTTATATACAAATAGTTATTGCAAACAATATATATATAATAATAAATCTGTCACACTTTTTATGTAGCATTTATTTGTTTAATTACCTTACCAATTAAATAACATAAAAAAGTCAAAAGGATAATCTTATAGAGAAATATCAGAATATCTCTCAACAGGCATGTACACGACAAAAGGTCTCGTTATAACGCTAGCAGACGTGCAGTAAACAACAGTCAGTTGTAAATGAGATGGGGTACAGTTCAATGACAAATTATACTGTAAACCTGATTTGAAACACTGATGTGATGATGAATTTTGCTCAGACAGATTTATGCATGTATTCATTGATATACATACCTGTTAACTGTTGTTTTGATATGTAATTTAAAGAGACTCCTGATAACAGGAGTTGAGATATGTAATTATGATGATATTTGAGATACATATTTAATAGTAACCTTATAGTAAGATAAAATGAGGTATTTATTTAAAACTAAGACTCCTGATAGTGAAAGATAAACCAATAATTTAAAAATTGATTTTTTTTTTTCAGAGGAAAGGACGTTCTTCAAAAAGGGACTCCTGATAACAAGATATAAGACGTATTTAACAATAAATTCCTGATAACAAGAGATAAGACGTATTTAACAATGGATTCCTGATAACAAAGATCAGACCTGTATTTAACGATGAATTTCTAAGGAATTTCTAGGGGATTAGCTTGTATTTTGTTTATAATATAAAAATAAGATAAGGATTTCGAGAGGCTAGGGCGTAGAATCTATCCATGTATTTAATTTAGAGGTCAATAGGCATTTCCACTCTATAGTTGTAGGCTTTAGATTTTAACTGTAATGTAAAGACAAATTCCTAGGAATCTTTGGTTTGATGTAGAAGAAAAAGGATAAGTGTTATTGATAAAATTGGATCTAGTTGAAAACCATCTGAGAGCCAATGGTTTAATATTTTGTCTTTAGGTAATTTAAGAACACAATATTTATAGGTAGAGTTGCACTGATGTTGCACAGTAACAGCCTTGTATTGCTTGAAAGATTTATGAAAACAAGGTATGAGGTACGAAGTTGTCGACATGTACAGGATGAAAAGTTTCTGATAATGAGTGATAAATCAGGAAATCCTGGTAGCAAGATATAAAGCATGCAGAGAATAATAGACATCTGGTGATCACAAGAGGTAAAGTATATATTGAGTCAGCAACTCTTGGTGATGAGAAACGAGAGATGTATTGAGTGCTAACGAGGAATAAAATGGCATCGAGAGATAAGACGTCTATTGATCACTTTCTGTGACAGTTTTTGAAACACCGTGTTTCATGTCCAAGCTTGTTTAATAAATAATTAGGTTTTCTTTATAATTATCCTGCACATAAGAATTAAATTCTTGTGTATTTTGTCTAAGCAAGACTAAACATGCAAAATTCGAAGGAACATTTCATATAAAAGTCAGTTAAAATCGTTTCTTTATAATACAACTGATAGTATTGTTGCGTATCTGCTCGTTTTTTAATTTCCGGTATAAATTCCTTCCGAGGAACTTCAGGGATACAAGTCCTTTCTTAGTTAAAACTAGT